TCCTCTTACAGGCTTTGCAGTATTAGAGTGCAGATTTCCTTTGCCTTATTTAGTTTTAGAAAAAAAGGGGTTTGTTTTGTCTATCCTTGCAAGTGCCAGAAACAGAAAATTTTAAAATCTCTTTCCAAAAAGCTGATTTCTTTTAAGAAAAGAGCAATTGAAATTGTAATTCTTCTCTCTTACTGTCTGATGAATTTATTATCTCCTGTGTTTAGTGCCCAAAAGTGGGTTTTGACTTGCTTAAAACCAGGAGAATTTTTTTCCTTTCATCTACTGCTCCATTAATTCCTATCAGAGCCGCAGCAAAAAAAGTTAATATGCCTGAGTATTTCTGCAGATTGCATCATTTTCAGTGTTTCATAACGATATGGCAAAAGTAATTTGAAACAGATAACAATGGTGCAGTCTGTTTCAGAATAACCATGATTTCCTTGTCATTAAGAGGTCTGTTAGCGGGTGGAGGAGGAGGAGGAGTTTTGTCTGGATGAGTTACAGATCATATGGTGCTATCGAGTGCCTTTTTTCCCCCCCCGCCCCTCTTTTCCTTCCCTTGAAATCCGCAGCGCTGGACTCTGGTTTGGATCCGAAACGATTGGATAGTTTCAAACTCCTGTCTGCACAAAGTGGCTCAGCGCTTCCAGATGTTTTCAATAAGGAGCCCAGAACTGTCGCATCAGCAGCCGGTGGCCCGGGCTGCTGCTCGCGTCTCTGCTCCATTTTGAGCAACTCGCAGAAAAAGAGAGAATTATGTACTCATTGGAGTAGGGTTGGTTGGTTTGTTTGTTTAATTTTTATCCTCTGTTTGTCTGTTGCATTGTGCTTCTGAGAACACCATATTCTGTGTACACACGTGCGTGGCATTGAAGGGACTGCCTTAAACCGATGGACAAAGGAGACTGAAAACCTTTGTTTTGCTTCATCCGGGCTGAGTCTGTCTTCTGCGTCTGCTCGGCATACCTGTGTGTATATAAGGCTGTGTGCAAGGCAAGATTTCTAGCCTGAAACAATGCTGCAGAAACCCCACCTAACGTGGGAAGAGAGTGATGGTCTCCCAAGGGAGAGTGTGTCTGGCATATTATCTTCTATTTGTTTATATTACGTTTCTCCCCCTCCTCCAGCAGTCGAGTCTGGAAATGAAGATGAGATGGACTTTGGGTGTCTGTAGTCGTCACTGGCCTCCTGATCTTGGCTGTGACTCAGGAACATAACCACAGAAAAACTCTTGGAACAAATTAGGGATTTGGAAGCTTAAATTTGAAAAGAAAAGCGAGTGAGGGGGATATTTTCTGTTGGTTTATTTGTTTCTGTGGATTATTTCCCTGTGTGGCTGAAGGTATAGAGGAGTCCAAAGGGATCAGTTGGCAAACTTTACTAGAACAAGGCTCATAATTATAGAGGAAGGCAGGTCATCATCTTGATTCCCAGGTAGGGCATGGATGTGTATGGAGTCCTGGGACATGTCCTGTGCCCGGAGTCGCCCTGCCTGGCAACTTCCCTGGCCAGCTCTTGTCACCTGCCTGTGCCTTCCACCTCAACTTTCTGTTCCTCTGGCCCCAAGAAGTCACACGTTGGGTTACTTCTGGCTTTTGGCCATGCCAAGATGCTTGTGCATAGCTCAGAAAAATTGGACGCGTCTTTCTAACTTCCTGCTCTGAAGGTTGCACATCTCCCAGCGCACCTCCCGCCTCCTTTGGCTAGAGATTTTTCTCCTTTCTCCTTACCTGCAGGAAGGGTGAGGTAACATAGCCACAAAAGAGCGGGTGTTGATGCTGCCTCAGGTCGGACCTATGTTGCATCTCCGTGGAAGATGTACTGTCGCAGTTAGTAAGCGATGCTCACGTCTCCTCTGTAAGGTTGGCATCGCTTGAGCCCTGCAGCTGAACACCCCTTTCTGGTTGCCAGGGGGGCTCTGCGGTTCAGAGGTGAAGTGCTTTAAGTGGAGCATCTGGACAGAGCTGCGCAGTTGTCCTTCGGATAAATCTTGGGCTTATATACCAGCAGCCATAGTTAATTTGATTTGAAAGCAAAATGAACTGCTGTATCAGTTAAAAAAATACAGATACTTCATAATGAAACATTAGAGCATCATTAAGGCACAGTGACTGCTGCAAATTCCTTTACCTGAACTAAATTCACAAGGTTTGTTTATAGGATCCTGTCCTGTAAATATAGATTTGAGGAAATCCCTGCCTTTTATGGTAGTGTTTGAGGGGCTGGAATGCTGTCACAGCCATTTCTGATTCCTCATCTCGATAGGCACATGATTGCTGGGATTCATTACTTGTGGAGAAAACTGATGGCTCCAGAAAGTCCCCAAAGTACTACCACATTTCGTGTGTGTCTTCATACTGAAAGCAGAAGCTCCATTCTGCTGCTGGGGAGAACAGTCATTGTCTGAGACCTCGAGCTGGGGATTGTATCTGTAAGAGAGCGTCATAGCAGAGATCCTCCTCAGTTCAGCTGGTGGTGTGGTGGAGATGAAGCTTTGGGTTATGAGGGCGAGACTGGAGCCTCAGGAAAGCGGGGGAGATAGCTCGCGTTGACTAGGTAAGAGCGTACCTGTGTCACCGACCAGGAGGGGCTGCGAGTCCCCAGCCCACGTGAGGACGTGCATGGGGCGATGCTCGAAGGTGGACCTCTGATGGGCGGCTGGCTTACCGAGTCTGCTGACTTTAGGGTGATGATGCTTTTGCATAATCCGGCTGTACGGATTGGGGGTGTCATGTCCAGGAGAGCCCCAAATAGTGTGTGGTGTTTCTGTGAACTCCCGTTCTGCGGTGTTTTACCAAACGGGGTGGAGGGGGAGTCAGTTCCTGTGTTACTCACGGGCAGGCTGCTGGTGCAGTCTTTTTGGGTGACCAGAAGCCTGGGTAGCACTGGAAAGAGAGGAGCTGGGGTGCCTGCTCGCAGCAGATGGATTTAGGCATCCTTTGGAAGACTCAACTTGCATGCAAATGCCAAAACTCACTTTTTATCAGTTTTGGCAGGTTGCAGTGTTTGAGTCACTTTTGCCAGAACTTGAGCTGGTGGTTACAAAGCCCCTTGTACAACCAGCGGCCCAGGCCCACCCTACGGGGCCGGATGGAAAGACCTCCAAGCCCTTAACTAAACTCCGTGAGTGGAGTGAATCCCGGCAGCAGGAGGTGGGCCAGTTCAGCCGGCACCGCAGAGGATGGTTCTTGGCGACCTGCAATTAAATGTTGGGTCGCTAAGCGCCGTTTCTGATGCCTCCGTTTCCTGCTTTGCAACATGCCGGCAGCAGGAGGTGGGCCAGTTCACCCGGCACCGCAGAGGATGGCTCTTGGCGACCTGCAATTAAATGTCGGGTCACTAAGCGCCGTTTCTGATGTCTCCGTTTCCTGCTTTGCAACACAGGATTAACAATTCCTGCATTTCCAGCTTTTCTCCCCAGAACAGCAGTGAGTTCT